GGATCTAAATTCTGCTGGAAGTTATCCTGCCTGGAATTGCCATACCACACAGGCTAAAAGGCGTGGCTTTGATTGCTCCGATGATGATCAACTACAAATGGAACTCGAGATTTAATCAAATATGATCACATTTATTGGCTCTCCTGACCAATTCTACACAACAATTTAACGGTGTTCCATTGTGCACTGCCTCTTTGTTTACCAAAAAAGTAGCAGAGAATGCGCAATTTTGTGATCTGGTAAAGTTTTATCTGATTACTCTCAATGATTGATGATGTTAATTTGCAGAAACTTTATGTACTCTGTTATTCATGATATTTTGGTGGGTCAGGGAAAATGGAACTTTGATCCACTAGAATTTGAAAATGAAAGCTCAGTTCATAGTATTTGGCATGGCAAGATGGACGAGATAGTACCTATTAGCTTACAAAGATATGTTTCCAAAAGGATTCATTATCATGATTTCTGGGAGGTTGGTCCTGTTAGTGAAGCCATCTTGAGGTCCTTTCTGCTTGGCCAACAAGATCCCGATCCCAATTTACAGGTGGTTGGTTATAAATTAAGGACTAGCCAACAATACATACCTTGTTAGGTTTTGCCTTCATTTTCTTCATTGCTAATATTACTAGTTGCTTCTGCTTCAATTGTAAAATTCCAATTATTTACCCAACAATACGTACCTTGTGTGTTGTTATGTTAATGTTGAGAGAGTTTAACTTGTAATTATTGATAGAGTTTTATTATCAAAGATGCTTATTGTATTAGATCAGCATTATTACTCCTTCTTTAATGGAGATTAGTCACGTATTTGCAGAACATAATTACTGGCTGAGAGAATCATAACTCGAATCAAATTAAGTTTAAAGTCAATTGTGAATTGAATTTATCTTATTATATAGAGTAGCTTTTTAATTAGAGTTATTTAGAAATTTCTTTATTATTTTTAGACCAACCAATAAAGCATTTTAATCAAGACCTAAACTATTGGGATTGTTTTGCCCTTTTATTAATGAAGCATCTCCCACAACAAATGTTACCACTCAGACCATCTCCAATCCACCTCTATTTTACTCTCCATTCTCTATATTTGGAGAGTAAAATAGAGAATGGGCACTCCAACCCACCTCCAAATCACTCTCTATTCTTCAAATTTAGAGAGTTGTTTGGAGAACTACTATTCACACTATATATTTCACTTTTTCATTATTTTATTATTATTTCTATTACTTTCTAATTAACATATTATTGTACATATAATTTCATTAATTAAATATCTAATATTCATAATTATTTTTTAAATGTAATATAATATTTTTAAAAAATATTATTTAATATATACTATTTTAATTTCAAATTAATAGTATTTTAATTTTTTTTCTAATTTTCGTGAATAATAAAATTTTATTTTATTGTTAATTTTTATTATAAAGAATACGCAAAATTAAAATGGCAAGATGAAAAAATTTAATTTAAAAATACAATAATTGATATGATAATTTAAATACAAGATAACAATACATAACATAATAATTTAGATACAAGATAACAATACAATATAATCCATAACATAATAATTTAAATACAAGATAAAATACAATACATAACATAATAATTAATTGATCACAACAATAATTTAGTAATCCGGTAGGTCGTTTCCAAATTTAGCACTATTCGAAAAAAAATTAGGATATTATTCCAAGAATTGTTGCAATACGCAGGTGTTGGGCAATACGCAGGTCGTAGTGGATCACCATCAATTATTCTTGAAACTGTTGTTGATTATGACCTTTGGATATGGCATGCTTATTTTGGTTTGCCTGACACCAATAACGATATTAATGTTTTAGAGTCATCACATTTATTTTCCAATCTTGCTAGCGGTATTGCGCCTCCCGCCCATTATGTTATTCAAGGAAAAGAATACGATATGGGTTATTACTTAGCTGATGGTATATATCCTAAATGGTCTACAATTGTTCAAACTATTCGTGATCTTCATTCGCAAAAGAAGAAATATTTCCCGATGAAACAAGAATCGTGCCGAAAAGATGTTGAACGTGCATTCGGAGTTTTGCAATCACGTTTTGCAATTATTGCAGGACCGTCACGCTTTTGGAGAAAGGAAGTGTTACATTATATAATGATTACATGTATTATACTGCACAACATGATAATTGAGGATGAACGTGATCTCAATGCACCAATTCAAGATGCCGTAGAGGCTCCAACTCCAACTATAGAAATGGTGGTAGATGAAAATCTCCGATTTGAATAATTTTTAGCTAGACATAAAAAAAATTAAGGACAAAAATACTCATTTTGAACTCCGTAATGCATTAATAGAGCATTTATGGGAGCAACGTAATAATTTTGAATATTGAGTGTTTATGTAATTGTATGTCACTTTTATTTGAATTTGTCTCCTAATTTATGTATTATATTATATTTTCTTGCAATTTATGTTATTTAAAAATTTAGAATATAATATAATTTAATATCACATTAAAAATTACATAAAATAATTATTTGGGAAAAAAGAAATAAAGGATTTATATTATGAAAAAAGAAAATAAGAATGAAATAGAAATAATAATATAATATTAAAGAGAGAGAAAAAGATTCTGTTTTAGAGAGTAAAATAAAAAATTGGATTGAAGTTGGTTGTCTGGAAAAATAGAAAACTCTATATTTAGAGAGTAAAATAGAGGATTGGGTTGGAGATGTCCTCAGGTAATTAATACAATTAACTAAAGTGGGTTGCTGATAAAATCAACCAGTTTTTCTCTTCCTAATTAATAAAAGTCAATTGGAATAATCAAGTCCATTTTGCTTTTGATCTTAATTTTCACAAGAGATATAGATTAGTCTTTTAATTCAATACACATTAGTGTATCTTAGAAGTTAATACCCAAGTGGAATATGGATTGACTACTAAGTTTGCCTATACTCTTAGCTGGTAATTTTCAAGTGATAAAGAAATTAAATTGTTTCCACTCTTCTCTTTTGCATTGCCCTCCCTCTACACAAATATTAACTTATTTTCAGCCAAATTAAAGTTCCCACTCCAGATCAAGGAATGGAATTAAAGAAACTTGTTGTCTTTCTTCTGTTACTTTCGATATCGATCGTGGACATGCTTTTAAAGAGAATAACAACTTGGGTATTAAGTTTTGTAGGATTGTGTCATCCTAAACAAACACAAGAAAGTTGTAAATTGCAGACTACTTCACCAAGAATCAAACTAAAGGATGGAGGTAAAATATATATATTTCATAGATACAAACATATATATACAATTGTTCGCTTGAGCTTCCCGGAACTTCTTCATAATGGCTTCCTTATATGCATACAATTGTTGAGAAATATTCTCTCCTAGCTTCCTTTTTCTCGTTTGAAGACTATAGAACGTCACACAACTTAACATGCATGAAATGAAATATTCCCTTGGTTTCAATTTACATGGCAATTGATTTGGAATACGAGGCCGTACAAATTAATTATAACTATGTGATCAAATTTGAATCTGGAAATAAGAGAATACAAGAACTCAAGAAAGGAAGAAGAACAGAGAGAATCGATTTGGGAATTTTTATCTGTATTGAAGTTGTATTGAAGTTGTATCTTTACAAGTTACTTACAAGTATATATATATAACTAACTATGCTGCCAACTGTAACTAACTATGCTGCCAGCTGGCTAACTAACTTTACATATCACTAACCAACTAACTTAGTGATTCTAACTCAGCTAATTCGTACTACTCCATTGTTTATGTTACACCATAATTCTCAATACTCCCCATCAAACTAGGTCCCATGAAGACATTCAGGACTCCTAGTTTGGATACTAGGTACTCATGTTGTGTCATTCCCAATGCCTTTGTTAGTAGATCTGCTAGTTGATCATGTGAAGATACATATATAGTTTTGATTAACCCTTGCTGAATCTTCTCCCTTATGAAATGGCAGTCTATTTCGATGTGTTTGGTTCTTTCATGAAATACTGGATTCGCAGCTATTTGTATAGCAGCCTTGCTATCACAATATATTGATACTGGACCTTCAATCTTGATTCCCAACTCTTTTGCCAGATTATTTACCCAAACTACTTCAGCTGTTAACCCTGCCAGACTTCTATACTCAGCTTCAGCTGAGCTCCTTGAGATTGTTGCCTACTTTTTAGATTTCCAAGCAATGAGAGATTTCCCTAACCTCAATATGTATCATGTCACAGACCTTCTGGTGTTTGGGCATGCAGCCCAATCTGCATCACAATACCCTGTTAACCTCATGTCCTTCTCTGATGACATTAGCAGTCCTAGCCCTGGTTGAGTCTTAATGTATCTCAAAACTCTTAATGCTGCATTCCAATGCTGTTTTGTAGGCTTCTGCATAAATTGGCTTAGTGTTTGCACAGTGTATGCAATATCAGGTCTAGTGTTCGTCAAATAAAGTAGTTTCCCAATTATCCTCTGATATTGTTGTACATCTTCAACTAGTTCAGTTGTTTGGTCAGCATCCTCAGCTATAGTCAACTTTATGTTGAATTCCAAAGGAGTCAATGCCACTTTTCCTCCTGTTAATCCAGCTTTAGCTAGTAGTTCTAACGCATACTTTCTCTGATTCATAAGGATTCCCCTGCTTGATCTACTGAATTCAATTCCTAAGAAGAACTTCAGTTCTCCTAAATCCTTAATCCTGAAGGATTGATGGAGAACCTGTTTAGTTTCTTTGATCAACTGTGTGTCATTTCCAGTTATAAGTAAGTCATCCACATAAACTAAAATGATTACCATCTTGTGTCCTTGTTTCTTTGTGAATAAGGAATAGTCCAAATGACTCTGTTGGTATCCTGATCGAAGCTTGTTTGAGTCCATACAAGGACTTGACAAGCTTGCAGCAGACCTTAGGTGTCTCCCCCTGAACCTTCAACCCCTTAGGTAGTTCCATAAAAACATCCTCCAATAAGTCACCTTGCAAGAAGGCATTATAGACATCCATTTAAAACAATGGCCAATTCTCAGCAGCAGCTAATGCAACAACGGTTCTTACTGTCACCATTTTCACAACTGGTGAAAAGGTCTCTTGATAATCAATTCCAGCAGTTTGATTGTACCCCTTAGCTACAAGCCTTGCTTTATACCTTTCTACAGTACCATCAGACCTGTACTTGATTTTAAAAACCCATTTACACCCAATAACTGGCTGATTATGAGGCAAGGGAACAACTTTCCAAGTCCCATTATCCTTCAAAGCCTGCAGCTCTTGAGTCATAGCATGAACCCATTTAGAGTCTGTTATAGCTTCTTCATATGTGGATGGTTCCACATCAGTGGAGATGTTGGCTATATATGCTTGATATGGTGAAGAAATATGTTGATAAGAAACATAATTACCCATAGGGTAAAAAACCTGCTTTCCAACCTTATGACCAGTGTGATAATCTTAGTGCCAAGTAGGTGTTGTTGTAGCTCTAGTTGACCTTCTAGGAGCAGAAGTGGCAACATCTGCAGTTGATGTATGATCAAGATTCATCTCATCAACAACTGAAGTCTCTAATGTAGGTTCACTGGTTTCACCATCTGGAATCAAGTCACTACTAATACTGCTGGTATCAGTATGTATGCCTGGACCAACTAAGAAATGCTCATCCTCATCAAATTGTACTGGTGTAGCAGGTATGGAAGTAAGATCAGGAAGGCACTGAGAAGAATTAATCTTGAATGGAAACACATTCTCTTCTCACCAATATCTTCCTGTCATGTAAGTAAAAAAGGATGTAACCTTTTTGAGTAGCAGAATATCCTAAGAGAGCACATGCAGCAGCCCTGGGTGAAAATTTGTCAACCTTAACAATCTTAGTTGCATAACAAAGACAACCAAGCACTCTTAGATGATCTAGGGAAGCTTTATGCTTATGAAATACTTCATATGGAGACTTACCCTTAAGCACTGGTGTGGGTAATCTATTGATCAGATACACTGCAGTCAATACACATTCACCCCAAAATCTAATTGGTATACTTCCTTGAAATCTAAGGGCTCGAGCCACCTCTAATATATGCATATGCTTCCTTTCTACAACTCCATTTTGTTGTGGAGTGTGAGGACAACTACTTTGATGTATAGTCCATGTGCTTTCAAACAGAACTTTTGCATTCATTATTGAAAAATTCACTACCATTGTCTGATCTAAAAATCTTCACAGTAGAGGCAAATTGAGTTCTTATCATTGAAATGAAATTCTTTAATACAGTGACAACATCTGACTTCAATCTGAGCAAATACAACCATGTCATCCTGCTGTAATCATCAACTAAAGTCAAAAAATATCTAAAGCCATTATGAGTAGCTATTTTATATGGGCCCCAAACATCTAAATGTATCATATCAAACATTCTACTTCTTCTAGTACAACTCAAAATAAAAGGCAATCTAGTTTGTTTTGCTAAAGGGTAGACTGTGCATTTATTCTGAATGTGTTTATCATGTCCTTCCACTGCTAACGACATTCTCCTTAGAACATTGATTGAGGGATGTCCTAGTCTCTTGTGCCATAATAGGTCTTTTCCATCATTGTGTACATTGACATTCATAAGCTTTGGACCATTGTTGTTACTAGGATGATTATTATTTGGATCCATCAACCAATATAGGCCTCCACTTTCTTTACCAATCCCCTTCACTTTCCCGGTGGAGAGGTCCTGAAATACACAAAATTCAGGGAAAAATACAATTGAGCATTGCAATTGTTTAGTGAGCTGTGACACAGATAATATGTCATACTTAAAATTAGGCACTGCTAACACATCTTTCAAGACATCTCTACCATTCCATTTATACTTTCCAATATGAGAAATTGTGGTGGTTTGGCCATTTGGTAAATGGACTTGTTTTTCATTGCCTTGTGAAGGAACATGCGTGTCAAATAATGCTTTCAAGTCTGAAATAATATGTTTACTAGCTCCTGAATCCACTATCCATTGTTTGTGAGTATAGTCATCTTTATTATCTACCAGATAAGCATGTGCAATACCTGCCATGTTAGCTGCTCCTGCCATGTTGACTGCTGTTCGTCAATCCCTTTTTCTTTGCTGAGCATTCTGAGTATCTGTCCATATTGCTCCTTTGTGAATACTGGTTGTTCCATAGGATGCATATCTTGCACATCTTGGCCCCTCACATCTGCACTGAAAGGGTTGAAAGCATCATCATAATCAACTGCATTTGCTATCCTTGTTCCCCCATATTTCTTCTTGAATTTGGGATGACCAGGAGGGTATCCAACTACTCTGTAACATGTATCCTTGGTGTGTCCTTTCAGCTTGCATACTTCACATTGCAGATTGTAGTTCCTTTTCTGTCTCTGTGAATTAGAAGTAGAGCCACCACCTTGGAAATTGTAACCCATAGCATTCGAAGAATTGTTGCCAGTAAGTGAATAACCAGAGTTGATGATTCCTAGACTAGTGTTTCCCTCATGAAAGTTACCTTGATAACTAGGCTTGTTAGAACTATTACTCCCAACATAAAGAGCAGTTGATGATGATTCTCCCAATTCAATCCCTGAGTACGAACCAACAGTTATTCTTTGTCCTTCATCAGCCACAATCATTGAATAGGCTTTGTTTAGAGATGGCAGAGGTATCATCATAAGAATTTGGCTTCTCTGTTGGTTGTACGACTCATTTAATCCCATGAGAAAAGCAAACAAACGTATATACTGCAGATGACTAGCATACACCTTTGATTTGTCACAACCACATGATGGAGGAGGGACAAGTGCATCAAATTCATCCCAAAGCACACGCAATTTTGTAAAATATGCAGATACAGACGAGTTACCTTGCGCAATTGTACAAATCTCTCTATGTAGTTGGTAACCTCTTGAGCCATCTACCTTGTCAAATCGTTCCTTCAAATCAGACCAAACCACTGATGCATCTGTGGCGTATATGATCCCACTTATGAGTTCCTTTGACATAGAGTTGAGAATCCAAGATAAAACAAACGCATTACACTTCTCCCACTGCTCCTCTAGATCATCTCCATAATCACTTTTCTTGCAGGTTTCATATACAAAACCTAATTTGCTCTTAGCTCGAAGTGTGAGAATCATCGATCTACTCCACACAGCGTAGTTCTCGACACATGTGAGTTGAATACTTGTTAAGAATGATCCTGGAGTATCTGATTGATGAAGATGCAGGGGATGATTACGTTGCTTCTCGACTGTCTCAATTGTATCCTTGCTTCCCATGATTCTTTGAGGAAATTAAAAAATCTTGAATACTGATTAACCAGATCATCTGCGGAAGAGAAGATCGAAACGAGAACTTGAATCAAACTTTGATTCTAAGCTCTGATACCATGATCAAATCTGAATCTGGAAATTAGAGAATACAAGAACTCAAGAAAGGAAGAAGAACAGAGAGAATCGATTTGGGAATTTTTATCTGTATTGAAGTTGTATTGAAGTTGTATCATTACAAGTTACTTACAAGTATATATATATAACTAACTATGCTGCCAGCTGTAACTAACTATGCTGCCAGCTGGCTAACTAACTTTACATATCACTAACCAACTAACTTAGTGATTCTAACTCAGCTAATTCGTACTACTCCATTGTTTATGTTACACCATAATTCTCATTACTATGAATGTTTAATATTATAGTAACGTAACGTTCCACAACTTGTACAGGAAAACCAGTTTTCATCTTTGATGTCAATGATGAATTATAAATTGGAGTAAAACCTTGATGAGGAATATTGAACCTAAACTTCTTTAAAAACAGAAACAACCACCATTTTAATCTGCATAAAAGCACTATCTTTACCAAGACAAGTCCTTGGTCCTGCATGAAACACTGGATATGTAAAAGTATCCCTTGACACAAATTTCCAATTTTCACTACTACTACTACTTTCTTTCACCAACCATCTCTCAGGCCGAAAATCCTCACAATCCGAACCCCACAATTCTTTCTATCTTCCCATTCCAAGAACATGAAGAAAAATCAGCGTTCCCTTCTTCAACTTGGTTCCATCAGGCCAAACATATATCGTCTTCGGTTACTTGCTTTGATTCAAGAGGAACCGGTGGGTAAAGTCTCATGCTTTCACAAATCGAAGCATGTGTATATACCAGTGCATTTAAATCATCGTCAATCTTCACCTCATCGATTTCTTTGACAATCTCCTTTTCTACGTTAGGGTGACTTGACACTAGCCAAAAAAACCATACTAAAGCTGAGAACAAAGTATCATCGACTACTACATTTTTGTATTTGAGAGCCCTTTTTATGTATCTGTCTAAAAAATCCCCTCCTCCTTCTTCATCTATGGACTAGCTATGATTCTCTTCTTTACATATTCTCGGAGTACATCAACTGCATTCCTTCCCACGAAACATTACAAAAATTTCAAAGAAACATTAAGTACTACTCCTTAAATTCTGAATCCGTGACACGTTTAAGAATACAAGATTAAAGGATATTTTAGTACATTCTACATATTTTTATTTTAAAATAACAAGATTGAAAATTATGTGATCGACAAGTCAAAACCAGATAAACAAATTAAGACGGAGGGAATATATGCATTATGCATACCTGTTCGGATCCAATGTTGAGAAGTTTTTTAGTTTTCCACAAAAGGGATCAGGGGCAAGCAAACCTTTGCATACTAATCTTAATTCGCGGTGGTTGATTTTACTAGATATATAACGAAACGTTGTATCAGCATGGAAGATGTGACTGAGTAAATGTCTCTCTGTTTTCCAATTTTCGCCCTGATTTACGTCTTATTCTTTTATATCATTGAAAGCATGCAACTGTACGCAAACTACCTGTTGATAATCGAATTAGTCAACTTAATTCTTTATAATTCTGATTCAGAAAATGATGAGTATATAGTTGTATAAAATAGCTCCACAAGAATATATGAATAAAATCTTCAAACTCTCTTGGATCTCAAGATTATGATACGGAACTAATAACTTTAACTTAAACTTCACCTAACTAAGAATTGCTAAATTACATTATTCCATGTGATTTTATCAACTACAATAATAATTATATCTTTCATTTCGTTCTCCATACTTTATGTTTTGAAAGACTCCCACACTTACAAAACGCATTGAAACTTATAAAATTGAGATGGATTCCTTTATTGCTCATGTTGATTTCTTCTTCCTTAAAAATTAAAAATTTCTTTCTTTATATTATCTCAGCATTAGTTATCCTAGAATTAGCTATCCCGAAATAACTTATCTCATCATGTATATGTGATAACTTATCCCATCATCACTATGGTAGAAATGATGAGATTATTCCAAACATGACACAAAAATTTTATCCCGTCACTATTTTCTTATCCTATAACTTTTTATTTTTA